CCTGAAAGCAAAACCTGTTTCATGAGATACTGGCACAGCTTAGCTTTCTCAGTAATTAGTGGAGAAAATATTTATTCAGTTGAGACACATGTTATATATTTAATGACATTTTGCTTCTCACAGTGATATTTTGGTGTGGTTTTATACCAGGATTACTTACAACAAATTGAATTCAGAATTTTATTCAAAATTCACTGTGCAGTTTTGGAGAAATCGGATGTGAACTCAGAAATGAGGACATAGAACTTACACTCTTAGTACATATTATTTATAATATTTTCTTATTACCTGGCTGATGTTGCTCAGTGGTTGAGCATCAACCAAAGCATCAAGAGGTCGCTGGTGCAATTCCCAGTCATGGTACATTTTCTGCAAGTAAACTCAATCCCCAGTAGGTGACATGCAGGAGGAAGCCCTTTGATGTTTCTTTCTCATCAATGTTTCTATATCTCTCTACCTCTCCCTGTCTGTCTCTAAAAAATCAGTTAAAAAACATATTTAATATTTTCTCCTTCACTCCTTGATGAATAACAAACATCATGAGTAAACCGACAGACCTCTGAGAATTCATTCTATAGTGAATGACTTCTATACAATAAGAGTTGTTGAAAAGCTTTCCTTCATCTGCCTAGTCAGAGTCAAGGACATGAGATTGTAGAAATTGGTAGACATGTTACCTCTATACATGCCATTTTGTTATGAGGCATTAGTCATTTTCCTTGAGATGGTAAAACTGATGAATGAGGATTCTCTATGAATGCAAATAAAATTTTGGGAAAAATATGACATGAAGCAAATTACACACCCTATTGATGAATGAAGGGCGTTCAAATGGGAAAAATGAGCTCAGAAAAAATGGTGAGAATGGAGCAGGTGAGCTCAGTTCATTAGATGCACCCAAGACAAGAGGCACTACAGAGAATTGGATGAAGGTATAAGGTTTAAGAGCCTGGAGGACTCAGTATCATAGGGGCAATGCTTTTAATAGAACTGAAATATGGAAACATTTTCTGAGAAAAGGAACATGAAGAAAATTTACAGCTGAAACCGGTTTGGCTCAGTGGTAGATCATAGGTTTGCAGACTGAAAGGTCCCAGATTCACTTCTGGTCAGGGGCATGTACGTTGGTTGCGGGCACATCCCCGGTAGGGGGTGTGAAAGAGACAGCTGGTCGATGTTCCTCTCTCATGGACGTTTCTAGCTCTCTATCTCTCTCTCTTCCTCTCTGTAAAAAAATCAATAAAATATATTTTAAAAAATTTACAGAGAAGAAACCCATGGTTAGTAACATTAAAAAATGAGACAGTGCCAGCATCATAGTCTAGGAAAACCCCAACAAGATGGGGAGGAACACTCAGGATCAGGGGTATGGTCATGGGGCCAGAGGAGGCAGAATCCACAAAAGCTTTATATTCAGAATGGTTCTGTAGCCCTATAACCCAGTAGCCATATTTAGGTTGATACTGAGAGCAAACATGCTGATGCTTTTTATTTTTCACTTTCAACATTTCATTTATTTCAAAATAAATTTAATGCAATCAAAGCAGTGGAGTTAACTGTGCACATTTTCATTTTCAGTTATAGGGGATAAAGTTTATTTTGACAGAGAGTGTTAAACAAAATTAAAGTTGCATACATTAGTAACATAACTCAACATCCTTAATTTGGTATAAATGTGACACATTTTTCTGCTTTTCTGTGTTCTGCTAAGTCATCATAACCTAAACTGCTTTATAAAACCAATACATTGAAATTTAATTTTACCCTTTTTGCTTACACTCTAATTCCAAACAAAACTTTTCATAAGCTTCTTCTATCTCTAGGTCCATCTCACCATCGCTATCATCCAAGTATGGATCACCAGAGCCTGATAAATTTTTTCCATTTTCTTTATAATCTGGAAAAAAGTCTTCTCTTTCAAGTAACTCAAGTAACTCTTGATATTTATCTTGGTAATCTAGATCAGCTGCAGTGAAAGGAAAACCATCAGATGTATAAAATGTTGGTTCATTCATAAAATAGTTGGGGTCATTTTCAGGTGTTGCTTCTCTATATGTTGAGGTTTCATGGACTCTACCCCAATTATTTGACTGGAGATCTACAAGCTTCAAAAGCATCTGCTTCACGTCTATCCTGCAGTGTGCATCCTGGATGAAATTTTCAATCTTCTGGATAACTTTTTCCATGTCCGTCTTTCCTTTTTTCTTCCAGGAATCTTCCAACACTGACCCTGTCAACTTCAGTAATTTTACTGCACAAATTAGGTTATCATCCACAGGGTTAGAAAACAAGGCATTCAGCAACTCCTGAAGAACAGCCTGAAGAACATTTGTTCTTGTAACCTGTCCATTTGTTCCTTTGATCTCCAGCTTAAGATAAAGTTCCCCCAGGAAGAGCACAAACACATGGAATTGTTTTCTAATTGCTTCATCCCCCTTTGCAGCTTGATCTTTAAGTTTATATTCAGTCCGACATCTTTGAAATAGCAATTGGCGGAAGTTGCCGCTTTGTGAGGAAATTGTCAGGTGATGGGACAGGTAATTACACAGGCGAGCTGTCATGTAGGAGAAATTTGGAATGGACGTGGCCTGTTGATAAATGAGTCCCACAAGTTCTTGCAAAGCATCATCTGTTGTAACCCAGCCATTCAGCGTCTCTGCAAATTGGTCAATTTCAGTTTCAAAACTACCAGGCTGCTCTCTAAGATGATTCAAGAAATTCTGAACATATTTAGATAGAGTGGGATAATCCTCACAGCCATCCTCATGGGATTTGGTATAGTTAGAATAATCTGAAGGGTAGAATTCAGGGGCATTCCCAGACAGCTTGGACATTAACACTGGAGCAACAACCACCTTGGGTTTAGCCATCATGGACTCTGAATTCAGCTGGGGGATGTTTTCCTGGGGTCTCCTTTGTTCCATGCAGCTTGGAGGGAAGCGGGTCATGCTGATGCTTTTTACCTTGTTTTACAAAATCCATCATATTGGAGTCAGGACATTTTATACCATACACCCTCAAAACCCAGGCATATTTATCTGACACATCTGCCTCCCGGTAATGTTTTCCTGATGTAATAGGAGATGACCCCAGGACACCATAATCCTCATAATTGCCTTTCTGATACAAATAAAGTGTTCTCAAATAAAAGGCATGCCTCACCTGTCTCCGATCCTCAGAAATGACAGTATTTGATTTATCTGTGGGAGGATCCAGGGTCACGTGTACTGTAGAAAAATTACAGGTTAGTGAGAAATATGATGAACCTTTATTTGTGACATTGTCAGAGAGGTTTTGAGAATAAAATGAATGGGAAATGGGAAGAATTTGTTTTGGTTCTTGAGCAGTACACATCGCAGAAATATAATATGTATATGTATGGTGAGAGGGAAAACTTAGTAGAAAAGTATGAGACTTAGTAGAAAATGCAAAATTCTAAAAGGTAGCTTCATGATATTGTGATTTCTTCTTACCCCAGTTTCATTGCATATCTGTCAGTTCTGAAATTAGAAAAAAATCTAGGACATTAAGTATAGGCAAAAGATTCTATATTACAAAGATTGGGTCTCTGTAAGGTAGTACATGGAAGAGTGAGAGGTGAACAAAACAGCTGACCATTCCCCATTGAATATGTCATCAGCATATAATATCCATCTTCCTTTGTCTCCTCTATCTACACCTAAAACCTGACCTGTAACCCCAACCATAACAAGAATCTCACAGCCACCCATTAAATGCTTCCAGCATACCTCTCAGGTCAGGAGCTTGGAACACTCTCCTTTGCTTTGTGGAGAGAGTTTTTGGTTTCTTCAGAGTGAAGTTCTTACTCCTAGGGATGACAAAATAGATCCACACACCTCTGAATTTTTATCTCTCCAAAACCACTGATTTTTATCTACTCACCCCAATGAGTATTTGAGCCCCTATTCATGGACCCCTGAGAAAGGAGGGAGTATACTTCTGACCTTAGCACCAGAAGAAATGTGCTCAATCCACTTTCCCAGTTGACTGCTATCTGCCCTTGGATAGGCATTGACCTCTCAGAGTGGTTTATTCCTTTCAAAATGATAACTAACTTCTCCCCGTCTAAGTCCTAAAAATCATATGAAATTGTGTGCCATAGTGAATTTCTTTAAAGTGAAAATTGGTACCTCGTAATAAATTAGTATAAGGAAAAGTCATCACGTAAATGTAGACCCCCAGCAATAATAAAAAAGTGAACATAGCTGCTTACATTTGAGACATGTCAAGTGTGGGAATATTGTCTGGGGACGCTAAACATCTTTAAATTACACCCCATAGGGAGGCCTCCAGAATTACATCTGAGACTTCAGGCTTCTGGGAAAAAATATAACACTTGGAAAAGAAGATATTATAGTGGTCTAAATTTAATCTGCTTGAAAGAGATTAGTGTGGCTAAGTAGGTGTAAATTTAGACACAAAGATGATGCCCTTCCATTCTGACTTTAAAATATGTTACAGGACGGATCAATTGTTTTTCCTAGGGTCAAAATATTCCTTGATATTGAAGTTGGCTTTTGGAAAATAAAGAGAACTATATCTCCTATTCCCAGAGAAGACATTTAAATATAAAGGAGTTATCTCAAATTATGGGTGCTTAGTAGGTAAAGAAGACATGACATTCCCACAGTCATTCCCACCTTTGAAATGTGGAAATCTGAGTTAGATACAGGCATGTGGAGTGCATAGAATTTATGAAGTCAGATGTGTCTGATATTGAAACATCTGATGTTTAATTGCTACTAATCCAAACTCTGTAACTCCTCCCAAGGAAATTTCTTATATAAGAAGTGGTTTATTCTCAATAGATATAGAATGGACAAAATAAGCGTGAACAGAAATTTAAGATAAAACTACATATAATTTTTTCTTTTGCCTGTTCCAATATTTTATATTCTAATTATCCATCTGATATCTTTAATGGCTTTAAACCTTCTTTTTACAGCACAAAAAGACCATCTCTGGTCTTCCATACATACCTTTTCATAGTGTCTTTCACATTCTAGGAAGGAAAGAGAAACTATAAGTCATGATGTAATAAGCTATTTTTACTAACAAAGTTTCAACACATCTCCCCACTCCATACTCCTGATCTGGAGGGAATAGAGATGGTTCTAATGTGAAAGCAAAATAATAAAGAAAAGACCCAGGTCAATAATTCAGAATATTCATGTATAGTTCTGTGTTTTCCTAAAATATAGAAACAACTTTGACCTTTGTGGCAGCACAGCCTGAGCTTCCAGTACCTGGGGATGAGACATATTTATGAGAAAAATATGAGACCCTGTTATTTTCCCATGTTCATACAACTCCTCATGAAATGATTTGAATATTTCATGCTTTGTTCATTTATTCAACACAAATGTAAAGTGGTGTACCATTAATTTTCAGGCATTTTGCCATAATTTGTAGAAACAAAGATGAGTGTTATAGTATTCCTCGAAAATTCACATCACTCTACTGAGTGTACTAGCAAACAAATGTATTAATGTAGGCATTTCTCAAATGTCTCTTCTTATTTCACCCACTATCTATAATTGATCATAGAGACACCATTAAACTCAAAACACATATATCTAAAATTTATTTCTAAGTCTTTATTATTACTCAGTTTTGTCTCTTAAATGCAGGTTACTATAATGCCTAGTAAAGAAGCCACAGGAACAAGTAACTTAAGATGTTTACTATGTAATTTACTTTTCAACAAACAAATTACCTCCTCTTTTATACACTTTCATTTATGTTACCAAAATCCACTTGGTCACTATTCTAAACGCTATAATATTTACTGCATTTGAGGGTCTAACAAGACAGTTCATTCCATATTATTTTCTATTTTCAGTCATCTAACCTTGTTTATCATCACAGGTTTCTCCCTCTCCATTTATTTCTCTCTAAAATCAATAAACACATATCTTTAAAAAAAGTTTCCATAAGGCTGTAGGAGGGGAAAATGAAACTGGCTGCTACTATACCCACATGTGTAGATTATGAAATGGAACTCCAACTCTGCCTGAGAGGCAGTCCCACACACCGATGTGCCAATGGCAATCAAGGCTCAACTACAGCAAAAAAACATGCACAACCCAAACATTAGACACCCCTAGAGAACCTGATTCAGATGAACACAGAAACTGCACCTCTGGGCCCCAAGGAAAGCCTGCTACATAAGGCTACTCTGCCAAAGTTGGGAGATGTGGCAGATACACCAAACACATAGAAATAAACATGGGAAGACAACTTAGTGAAGAAACATGTTCCAGATGAAAGATCAGGACAATATTCCAAAAAAAATAACTAAACAAAATGGAAACAAATACAGAATTCTAAACAATGGTTATAAGGATGCTCAATGAACTTAGGGATAGAATACATTATCCGATGAAGAACTTCAATAAAGAGAGAGGAAATATAAAAAGGAGATAGAAAGCATGAAAAACACCCAGTGAGAAATAAAAAATACAAAGAAAAAAATCTTAAAAGTGGCAAGAGAAAAGCAGTTAGTTACATATAATGGGGCTCCCTAAGAATCACGAGTATAATTTCTCAACCCAAACTTTACAGGCCAGAAGGGAGTGGTATGAAATATTCAAAGTGATGAAAAGCAAAGACCTACAACCTAGGATATTCTATCCAGCAAGGTTGTTATTTAGAATTGAAGGAGACATAAAGAACTTCTCAGGAGAAACCAAGATGGTGGCAATAGGGTAGATACCCGAATGCAGCCTACCACAACAAATTTGAATTTAGAACTGGAAAACAGGGGAGGCATTGCCCTGAAGCACCAGAAGGCTAGCTGAGAGGAGGCTCTGCCATCTGGGAAGGAGAGAGAAGGCATGCTGAACCTCAGGAACTGTGAAGGTACAGAGAACTGTGTGCGCGAAAAGGCGCTGGCTTACTACTGGCGCGCGGAGAGGAAGGGCCAGACCGAGATTGCTGCTCGCTTACTCCCTGCGTGCAGAGAGGGCTGGCCTGGTTGAGTTTACTACTGGCTTACTCCCGGTGAGTGGAGAGGGCGGACAGCTAACGTCGCAGCTGGCTTTCTTGTTTGAGAGAAAAACAGAATCAGCCTATTGCTCTGATAGACGGCCCCAGACAGGGAGAGGCCAGACTGTCAGGCAGTGGGCAGAGATCTCTCAGAGGTGTGTGAAGCCAGAGGCCATTACTGAGGAACTTGGGGAGGAGCCGAAGGAAAAACAAAATTTGTCTGCACCAACCCGAGACTCCACCCCATCTGTGGCTGAGCACAGAAGCACTCCCAGAGGCTGGCTTTCTCTAAGGAGGGACTGGCCGGAATCCAAAGCTTATCTGTGCCTTTACCAAAGAGGTGCGTGCGCCTGCAACCAATCTTCCGAAACTCACAGCGAACAGGACTTTTCTAAGACGAGACTGACAGGGAACCAAAGATTATCTGCACCACCCTGAGACCCTGCCCTATCCAAGCAGAGTACAGAAGCCCTCCTAGCTGAGACACTGCTGATCCTCACAGCCAATTGGTTTGGAGATCAATGCTTCCCAGTGATACCAACAATAAGCAAGGCTTAACAACAAGACTGCACACACAGCCCACAAAGGGCTACACCAAGACTGTCCACCTCAGGTAACTGGGAAGGCTGTGCTACTGGGTTCTACCAGGACACCTAGCACACAAAGCTATTCCAACAAATCAGGGAAACAACTAAAATGCAGACAAGAGGAAGGACACAAAGGAAGGAGATGGAGGAAAAGATTGGACATTGAGTTCAAAACTACAGTTATAAGGTTATGCAACAATATCCTCAAAAAGGCTGATAAAATAAATGAGACCTATGAGGATATGAAAAGGGATCAACAAGAAATGAAGAAAACATTGTCTGAAATAAAAAATATTATACAAAGTCCTAAAAACAGACTGGAAGATTGCAAGAATCAAGACAAAGATTTAGAACACAAAGAGCCAGAGGACACTTCTCTGCAGAAGCGAGAAGATAAGAGAATCCAGAAAGTTGAAGATAGTGTAAGAAACCTCTGGGACAATTTCAAGTGAACCAACATCAGAATTATGGGGATTCCAGAAGGAGAGAGAGAGAGCAAGATACCGAAAAAATACTGGAAGAAATAGTGACAAAAAACTTCCCCCACCTGGGGAAAGAAATAGACTTACAAGTCCAGAAAGCCCTCAGAACCCCAAACAAAAGGAATCCAAGGAGGACCACACAAAGACACATCATAATTAAAATTCCAAGAGCAAAAGACAAAAAGAGAATATTAAAAGCAGCAAGAGAAAAGCAGGTAGTTACATATAAAGGAGCACCCATATGACTGTCAGCTGATTTCTCAACAGAAACCATGAAGGCCAGACGGGAATGGCAAGAAATATTCAAGGTGATGAATAGTAAGAACCTACAGCCAAAAATACTCTACCCAGCAAAGCTATCACTCAGAATCGAAGATAAAGAGCTTCACAATTAAAAAAAAACTAAAAGAGTTCATCACTGCCAAACCAGAATTATATGAATTGCTGAAGGGGGTTACTTAGGAAGAGGAAGAAGATAAAGATAAAAATTATGAACAACAAATACGTAACTATCAACAAGTGAAACTAAAAACCAAGGGAATTAAAAAATCTGATGAACAATATTAACTGATGAATATAATAGAAGCAGAGGTATGGAAGGGAAGTGGACTGACGATTCTCAGGGAAAAGAGGAGTGGGGGTGTGGGAAAAGACTGAACAAAAACTGTGCACCTATGGATGAGGGATGGGGAAAGGACAGAGAGTGGGGTAGGAACCTGGTGGAGGGAAGCAATTGAGGGGGGAAGAGGAACACATTTGTAATAATCTGAACAATAAAGATTTATTAAAAAAAAAAAAAGAACTTCTCAGATAACAAAAAAACTCAAGGAGTTAATTACCATCAAATTAGTATTATAAGAAAGATTAAAGACTTAAGAAAAAAAGAAAATAAAAAGCAACAATGTAAATAAGAAAATCATCATGATGTAGAAGACATGACCAACATTGTCAACCAGCTTCATCTAACTGACAACTAAACACCCTTTCATCCAATCAATACACACTTTACATTCTTTTCAAATAATATTTTAGTAAATAAAGCAAGTGTCAATACATCTAAAAGATTGAAATAATATATACTTTCTGATTAGAAAGGAATTATATTTAAAATATACAGCAGAAAAAAAAAGTTTAAATAAGTCACGAAGTGGGAGAAACCAAGATGGCAGCATAGGGTAGACACCTGAATGCAGCCTACCACAACAAATTTGAATTTAGAACTGGGAAACATCGCCCTGAAGTGCAGGATGGCTGGCTGAGAGGAGGCTCTACCATCTGGGAGGGAGAGAGAAGGTACGCTGAACCTCAGGTACTGTGAAGGTGCGGTGAACTGTGTGCATGAAAAGGCGGCCACCTGACTTCGCTGCTGGCTTGCTTGTAGAGCTCGGAAAGGGTGGGCCAAGTTTGGGCCGAGTTCGCTACTGGCTTACTCTCAGAGTGCAGAGAGGGCGGACAGCTAATGCACGGCTGGCTTTCTTGTTCAGGAGGAAAACAGAACCACCCTATTGTTCTAATAGACGGCCCCAGGGAGACGTCAGGGAGAGGCCAGACTGTCAGGCAGTGGGCAGAGATCTCTCAGAGGTGTGTGAAGCCAGTGGCCATTACTGCAGGACTCAGAAACCAGACCCTCGTAGGGAGGGGCTGACCAAATAGGGAGGGATAGACAGGAATCCAAAGCTTGTCTGCACCTATACCAAAGGGGTACATGTGCCTGCAACCAATTTTGCAGGATTCACCAAGACTTGTCTGTGCCACCCCGAGACTCCGCCCCATCCAAGCAGAATTCAGAAACCCTCCTATCTGAGACACTTCTAATCCTCATAGCCAATTGGCTTGGAGATCAATGCTTCCCAGTGATACCAACAACAAGCAAGGCTTAACAACAAGACTGCACACACAGCCCACAAAGGGATACACCAAGACTGTCCACCTCAGGTAACTGGAAGGCTGATCCACTGAACCATATAGGACACCTTAGCACACAAAGCCACCCTACCAACTCAGGGAAGCTGTGAAAATGCTGAGACAAGGAAACAGATCTCAAACAAAAGAAATGGAAGACAAGAAGTGACTGAATATGGAGTTCAAAACCACGGTTATAAGGTTTTTTAAGAATTTCCTAGAAAAGGCCAATAAAATAACGAGACCTATGAGGATATGAAAAGGGATCAACTAGAAATAAAGAATACATTGTCTGAAATAAAAAATATTATACAGAGTCTAAAAACAGAATGGAAGATCGCAAGAATCAAGTCAAAGTTTTGGAACACAAAGAGCCAGAGGACACTCCTCCACAGAAGCAAGAAGATAACAGAATCCAGAAAGTTGAAGATAGTGTAAGAAACCTCTGGGACAATTTCAATCGAACCAACATCAGAATTATGGGGGTCCCAGAAGAAGAGAGAGAGAGCAAGATACAGAAAAAAATACTGGAAGAAATAGTGAGTGACAGAAAACTTCCCCCACCTGGTGAAAGAATTAGACTTACAAGTCCAGGAAGCACACAGAACCCCAAACAAAAGGAATCCAAGGAGGACACAGGAACCCCAAACAAAAGGAATCCAAGAAGGTAGGGTGGGAAACTGGTGGAGCGGAGCAATTGGGGGAAGGGGGGAGGGAAAAAGGGATATTTGTAATAACATGAACAATAAAGATTTATTTAAAAAATAAATGTTAAAAAAAAGTCACGAAGTGTTTGTACATTAATCATCACCTTTTCAAATGTTTCAAGAGTTAAGGTAAAAATAATAGAGAAAATTTGAAAAAAAAAAAAAAAAGTTAAATTGATTCATAATAACAAGGCCTAGCAGGTGGGGCTCAGTGCTTGAGGGCTGATTTATTAACCAGGAGATTTGGTGCAGTCCCCAGTCAGGCACACACAGGGATTTCAGGCTCCTTCTCCAGTAGGACGCATGCTAGATTGCTTCTCACCATTGATGTTTCTATATCTCTCTCTCTCCCTTTACTTTGAAATCAATAAAAAACAAATAAGTAAATAATCCAAAAGAATGGAATATAGCTAAAACAATGCAACTATAACATTAAAAGCTATAAGAGAAAAAGACTGTCAAGTCTGTGGTCAAAATTCCTATTTTAAGCCTTGGCTGGTTTAGCTGAGTGGTGAGAGTGTCAGCCCCAAGACCAAAGACTCCCAGGTTCAATTTTTGGTGAAGGGTATATAACTGTGTTGCAGGATCAATACCTGGCCTCCTTTGGGGTGTGTGCCAGAGGCAACCAATGAATGTGTCTCCCTCACATGATGTTTCTCTCTCTCTCTCTCTCTCTCTCTCTCTCTCTCTCTCTCTCTCTCTCTCTCTCTCTCTCTCTTTCCTTTCCTCCCTTCCACTCTCTCTAAAATACTCTACGCAGCAAAGTTATCATTCAGAATTGAAGGGCAGATAAAGAGCTTCACAGATAAGAAAAAGCTAAAGGAGATCTTTGCCGCCAAACCAGTTTTATATGAAATGCTGAAAGGTATTCTTTAAGAAGAGGAAGAAGAATAAAAAGGTAAAGATAAAAATTTTGATCAACAAATATATATCAACAAGTGAATCTAAAAATCAAGTGAATTAAAAATCTGAGGAACAGAATAAACTGGTGAATATAATAAAATCAGGGGCAAAGAAAGGGAGTGGATTGATAATTATCAGGGTGAAAAGGGTGTGGGAGGTGCAGGAAGAGACTGGACTAAAATTGTACACCTACGGATGAGGACAATGGGGGAGGGGAGGTAAGGGCAGAGGGGGGGGGTGGGAACCGGGTGGAAGAGAGATGGAGGGGAAAAGGAGAAACAATTGTAATAATCTGAGCAATAAAGGTTTATTAAAAAAATATCCTAGGGTGAGAATTAACAAAATAAAATAAAAACTTCTCACTTTAAGAAACTAGGAAAATAGCAACAAATTACAATGCACACACACAAACATACACACTCTGATATATGAATGTGTTCTTATATATACTCACACAAAGCAAACTATATAAGTGAGAGCAGAAACCTGTGATATAAAAAGGTTAAAAATAATAAACAAACACATAAATAAATAAATAAATAAATAAATAAATAAATAAATAAATAACACAGTAAAATTTATTCTTAAAAAACATCAATGAGTCCTGGTAGGTTCGATTCCGGTCAAGGGCACATGGCCAGACTGCAGGCTTGATTCCCCAGTAGGGGCCATACAGGAAGCAGTCGAATCAATGATTCTCTCTTATCATTAATGTTTCTATCTCTCTCCCTCTGATTTCCTCTCTGAAATCAATAAAAATATATTAATAAGCAAACAAACAAAAAAACAAAACAAAAAACTTCAATGGCCTTGACCAATGACAACTAACTTGACCAAAAATAATAACAAAATCAGACATAAAAGAGGAGTGATTACTGTTAGTACTATAAAAATGAAAAACATTCTAAGAAATTATAATAACTAATTTCATGCTTACGAATCTGACAACTTAGAGTGGACAAATTTCTACAAAGATGTACATTATCAAGAACTAACTCAAGAAATATAAAAAAAAAAACTTGAGAAAACCTAATACAAGTAGAAAAAATATTTTAAACTTTTCCATTAACATAGAGGCCCAGAGTGAAATGGTTTAACTGGTAAATCTACTGAATAATCAAAAAGTAAATAATATCAATCTTTCACAATTGTTTATTCAGAAGATTCAGAAAGAACAGAAAAATCTCAACTTATTCTAAAAAGGAAAAAAAACAACAACTTTGGGATCATGAAGAGGTATCTGAATAAAGTTCTAGACTAGATTACAGATACAGGGGCCTGCAGAATACAATGAATCTTCTCTTCACCGTCAATTTTATACTTCAATTGATACATTAATAAGAACAAGATTTTTCTTATTGTTCATGCATTCGACAATTTTTTAAAATATATTTTTTATTGATTTTGTACAGAGAGGAAGGGAGAGAGATAGAGAGTTAGAAACATCAATGAGAGAGAGTCATCGATCAGCTGCCTCTTGCACACCCCCTACTGGGGATTTGCCCGCAACCAAGGTACATGCCCTTGACCGGAATCGAACCCGGGACCTTTCAGTCCCCAAGCCGACACTCTATCCATTGAGCCAAACTGGTTTCGGCGCATTCGACAATTTTAATAACCTCTGAAACAGATGCAGGGAAGGGTCACTGCAAGACCAATGGAACCTGTGTCAACACCACAAACAACATAGCCACACAGCAGAGAAGGAAACTTAGCCTTGATTTCCCTTAGGCTCAGATGGTGGGGCTTATTTCTAAGTCTTACCTGCAGCATCTCTACTGTTGACCCCTGCAATCGATGCTCCAGATCTGAGATGAGATCTCTCAACAACTTCTGCTGTTGGGCCAGCTCACTCTCAGCCTGAGCCAAGTCATCAAGGTTTTCTGCTCCCTCTTTCTCTAGCCTTTGCAGCTCCTTTTGCTCCTCACTGGCCAGGATACCTCTCAGTTGTTCAAACGAGTCCTGGACACTTTTCAACTCATTTTCTATTTGATCCTTCAGAAATGAGAAAGAAAGACAGGGATTCAGGCTGTCAGGCAGACTGGGAGCCAGAAAAGAAAATTTGATTTGATTTAGATGTTTTCAGAGGAAAGAGAAATGGGAGCAGAGAAGCAATCCTTGGGGAGGCTGATTTTTCCCATTATTTCATCTTCATCACATTACAAAATAATGCTCTCATGCCTACATTATTAAGACCAACCTAAACCAAAATGGGACACCTGGGTGTGGCTCAACTCTCACAGAGTGGCCTAGAAAAGTCATGCCTCCATGCATTACTTCACACCCCACCCCATCCTTAGCCTATGTTGAGCAATGTAACAGAGCCATGAGCCATTGTCAAGGGTATTCCCTGGAATAGTTTTAAGGTTATAAATAATGACAAATGAATATAAAATTCACTAGCCATACTCACCAGAATCTCTTTATGGAATAACCAACCTATAAATATTTGTGTTATTTTGTGATATGTTTATCTCTATCAGGGAAAGGATAAAAAAAAATGGCTAAGCAATGAAACTGGACATGTCAACTGTCAGAAAACAAGAAGGAAGGGATCTCCTTGTGACTAAAACCCAAAGTCCTGCCCAGATTCTTGGTTAATTATGAGAAAGGGTCTCCTCCTACCATCTTGGAAGTTCTCTCTTCTGCAAGGTCATCTTCCAATTTTTCAGCTTTCTGCTGCTCTGCCCTCAGCCTGTCCAGAGCTGCCTGGAGCTTTTCCTATGAGAGAGGAATCACTTCAAGGTCAAGATAGGGACTCTCTCCTCATCAGAAGAGAGGGTTAATGAAAAGAATTCAGGTTCATCTCTAAAGAGTTTAGAATTTACAGAAACTATAAAATGATCATTGGCATCTGTGGTTTGAAGGAAATCTGATGGTTATATGGTGTTTCACATTCAGATGATAGAAACCACTATTACCATTCAAGATAAAAATGATTTTATTTTATTTATTTTATTTTTTTTGCCCTAGAAGAAAATACTTGATCTTGTAGTAAGGAAAGAATTTAGGTCTCAATCCACCCAACTGCCTACCCCTCATGTCTAAAGGGATGGCGACAGTTTGTTTTGTGCACCAAACCTCTACCTATTAGCACAAGATCTGAAAATATTCTCTTTTAGGTACTGCTCATCATTTGTAATTGTGTGGAATGTACAGAAATGTCCTGCAGGCCTTGGAAGATAAACATAGGAAGAAAAGTGACCACAGGCCTCAGAGTTATGGTGGCAAGATAATTACCATCAGATACAAAACTTGAGATTTCCCATCAAGTGCTATTTTCTGCCCTGTCTTTCCTCCATCCCGGTCTGTTACCTTGTACTCTGGGGCAATCTCCTCCACAAGGAATGTTTGGTGACCTCGGTGCTCTTGAGACCGCTCACAAAGCCAGCAGATGATCTTCCCATCCTCCTTGCAGAAGAGCAGGAGTCTTTCTCCATGGCGCACACAGAGATCCCTCTTTTGCTCCTCCTTTGGGCTCAACTTCACCTCCCCAAGCGCCTCCACAATGTTGGCCACATGTCGATTGGGACGCAGGTTCTCAGGCTGGTAACTGATCCTACACACTGGGCAGCTGCTCTCTTGGCCCTTCATAGACTCACTGTTGTTTGCAGTGATGCAGACTTGGCAAAATGTGTGCCCACAGTCCAGGCTCATGGGTTCTGTTAGGAGCTCCAGGCAGATGGGGCAGGTTACCTCCTCCTTTATGTTCACTAGGACTCCTGAAGCCATCGCAGTTGGTTCCTTGCTCCTATCTGTCCTGATTTGCGGCTCCTTTTGCTCACTGATTTTTGCCTGATTAGAAAGAGGGTCAGAGTAAGAATGGTAGAATAAAGTTGCTAAAATGAAGGATGGAGCAAGAAAAAATATAAAAGGACAAAACAGAGACAGTAGAGAGTCAAAGTAAGGAGCATGAAGGCCTGTTGTTTTTTTTGTGCTTTTTTTTTTAAAAAAGGCTATTTATTACAATATTATTTATTTTAATTGTTTTGTTAATCCTCACTCGATATTTTTGCCATTGATTTTTAGACAGAGTAGGAAGGAGAACGGGGATGAGAAACAAACATTGAGAGACACACACAAGCGCACACACACACACACACACACACACACACACACACACTCAGAGAGAGAGAGAGAGATCAACTGGTTGCCTTGCCTTCCATAGATACCCAGATCTGGGTGGTGATCAAACCTGCAACCCTGAGAGGTGTTCTTGACCTTTTTATGCACAGGCCCACACTGTAATTACTGAGAAATTCCAGCCAGGCACATAAGAATTTTAAATACTTTTATTTACTCTGACATGACAAATTTCATTTTCATCTGTACAATGGTTGTTACTGTCCCTTGGTTTTACTAAACCATAGGATGACATGTAGCCTTTTTTACAAATAAAAGATGTCTGTGTGACCCAGCATCTCTCCTGCTTCATCTTTCCTATGGAAAACACATCCATAAACCACTTTTAGGTCTGGGCATTTATACCTGCTCTTCTCTCATCAGGCAATGCTGTCCTGGTATCAGTGGACTCACTCTCATTCTTCAGTTAACTATCTCTTTTCATGTTCCTTTATCATAAAGACCTACTCTGACTTGCTTATTTATAGTGCAACCATTGCGATCATTTACTATATGTTTGAAAAAATTTCATTATCTACACTAATAAAATAGAAACATGCAAGTGAACCATCACTCCGCTATGCCCAGCAGACAATCAGGAGGGAATATGTAAAGTAGAAGGCCAAATATGGCTGCTGCCCAGTGGCTCCAGGTGAGAGTGGCTGGGCAGGGCAGGATGCTTGCTATGAGAGTGAGGAGGGGGAGGAGAGGAGGAGGCGAAGGGATCTATAGGAGTAGCACTCCGGCCCAGCGAAGATGAAGACTGCAGAATCCAGCCAGAGTCTGCTGCAAAGATGAAGGTCATAGACTCTGCCCGGAGCCTGCAGCAAAGACAAAGAAGGCAGTCTCTGGCTATAGTGAAGGACTGGATCCTAGGTGCCAGAGGAAAACTGGTGCTGGAAGCCAAGGAAAGGAAGGCCTATTGCACAAATCTCCTTACTCAGTGGGCCTCTATTTATAACATAATATGTGACAATGTGTTTGTGTAAATGGCAAGAGCAAACTCTTTAACAGATGTGTACATAAAGTAAAGAGTGTCTTACAAACATCATTTATTTTCAATATACAGAGTTGCAGTGATCCTAATGTATTCAGCATCCCTTTTACTACCTTACAGGGTTCATCAAAGACCAAATAGGCAACTTAAGAGGTTCTGGGGAATCTTCTTGGATAAATAGTAAAATTTCACGTTTGCCTGGAAATATGCCAAGGACATTGACAGGAGCCTAATGGTGTGTATGCATATTGATGATGGGGAGAGAGATAGCATAAAGATATTCATAGGATCACACAAGTCACATATCTGAAAAAACAGGGACACAAATGAAGTAAATTTCAGACTTGCAATAGAAATCTCAAAATATTAGGCAAGATCATTCAACTAACTTTTCATCTTTTGAATTACATGCTAACAACTAAACTAATACCCATAAACACAGAAATGAGTCTAAACAGAGTTTAAACCACTATCACCCTGACATCCACCTGAAAAGTAACAGTAAATTAAGATATATATAATCCTGATGTGAAAAACCCTACTAGAGAGATGTGTATGTTGTTGGGAAATCAATTATCGAGGCAGATAAAGGTTGTCCAGCAATTCAAACTTAAATACCTAAGGGTTGAACTGGAAACTGAGGAAGATAAAGGAAATAAGGCATTTGGAAGAGAAAAAAAAATTAGGTAAAGGAAATGACTCATTCATTGAAGATGCATCATACTGTGTGAGATGGAAATGCCAGTGTGGCTGGTGTGAGAAAACTGCTAGGCATTTGGTATCACATGAGCCTGCAGTGACTTATGGCACTTAGTGAATTATGTAACATTTAGGAATACTTTGCCAAGAGCAAAATTAATCACCAGTGTTAGGCTGTGGAGTAATCAATGGATCCAGCGGGGGACTGGGAGATGAGTAGGATGCACATACAGTTGCCCAGGGGAGAGATGATAATAGCTTTCAGGATATAGAGAGCAGGTGATGAGTGAAACATAGGGTGAGGTAAGAGGAAAGGATGGAAAGTTAGATTAGATAACTGAGAAAAAAGGGTTAACATCAAGCCTAGGTTCTTTTTTTTCCTATAAAGGTAATATTGGATAAGTCTTCTAATAAGTTTTTGTTTGTTTTTGCTGTCTTGAAAACTCATGAGACTATAGCCAAGTTGAAGATGAGCTGCCTTTACTTTAACTCAGGCTGTCTAATGTCCTTTTGCATCTATGATAACATATGTTTGAAATGTCCAGGTAATTTTCCTTTTTTCTGACCCCTCAAAGCACATTCATCACAGTACAGAGACCACAGAGACCCTCATTGTTATTGAGTTAATTGTTAACTGTTAACCATCCTACACCCACCTAAATAAAAATAGAATGTGCCTATTATTTTACTTTATAATCAATTCCACAGGTTCCATCCCCTCTCCTCCTCGCTTTATTCTGCTTCAGCCTAACTAATCTATCACCAATGGATTCCATGCCCACACCTATATCTTTTCTTTTGGTTCTAATCCTATATAATAAAAGCCCAGTGACCGAATGGCAGAATGACCAGAACGACCGTGGCCCCTTGCCCCTGGCTGACCCCACCCCAAGTGGCCCCCTTACTCCTATCGGGTATGGGGTCAGCCCACAAACCAGACCTTCACCCCAGCCGACCCCACCCCTGATGGGCCCTCATCAGGGAGGGCTAGCTGGACCCCACCAGTGAACCACTTCGTGCATCAGACCTCTAATGCAGAGGTAGGCAAACTTCGGCTCATAAGCCACATGTGGCTCAAGAGCTGCAATTTGCTGCTCTGTTGACTAATGAGTTTGCCGACCACTGCTCTAGTGTATAATATAAGGGGCAAAACTACCATTCTCTGGAACATTATCTCAGTCCATTGAGATTCTGCTCCTAGCAATTGTGGGCAGTTTGGTTGAAATATGCACACAAAAATTCTTCACAGGTTTGAATGTTTGTTAAGTTACCAGAGAGTATCACAGAGTGGTAACACAGTGATGCTCATCCTCCCACCTGGACTCGGTATGGCCCTGTGGCTACAGTCTAGGATCAGGAGCTCTCTCAGGAACTTCAAGTAAATGGGTCTATGAAGCAATAATTAAAGAAAAGATCTCAGTAGATATTCATGTCTTGATGGTTGCCAAAGTTTGATGGTAAAAGATCTGAAGTATCAGTTAATAAATTTTCCCTTTGCTCTGTTCTCTGAAGGGAAAAATTATAAAGGCTGCACGGAGATGAATTTAGACCTGCAAACACTATCTATTAGTGCCATAGTCATCATACATGAAGAATACCTGATAAGGGAGGCTGAAGGAGAACAGAAGTGTATTCCAGCTAGTGGTCCAGATACTGAAAATAGCCCAAAGGCCATATGCAATTAACCCCAACAGCAGGAACAGGGATAGACATTGTATCAGGGTAGGTATCCTTTAATATCTACCCCTTGTTTATGACTCCAGCATGATCCAAATTTGGGGTAGGGACCTTCAATTATTTTGCATCTCATCCAAGATCCAACCAATGCTGAGACCCACCAGGAGCCTGGAGAGTAGGGAAGAGCAGGGTTATGCATTTTGCCTTGGGGCTGCAGAATTTATTTTTATGGTGGAGCTACAAGAAGCTAAGGTCAAAGCAACTGGCCACAGGACACAGAAGACGAAAGTGCAGCGGAGCTTGAGTCATCACTCATGGAGTCTGACCCCACTATTACCTAAGCAGTGACCAGGGCTTCGCAGTAGGTAGACAGATATGGGAACAGGAGTAGTGTATGTGCTGGAAGGATATCACAAATGTGAAGCCCTTCCTTGAGGACTTAGGCTCTCTGGGGACCTGCACCAGAAACCTGAGCCCACAGAGTGTCTGCCTTCAAAAACCAACAAGGCTTGTGTCCAGAACCCTAGGGGTGTAGCATATAGGATATTCCTTTTCAAAATGCAGGTGCACAAGACTTAAAGGTCTTTTAGGACTTGCTCCAGGACCATACAAAAGTAGAGATTTGATAAGTGCCTAGATGTGTGAGAAGAAAATCCCTCTCCTGCAGGAAGAGTGGAAGTCTGTTGGACTCTCACCTGAGGCAGAGACCTGGGATAGGGGGTGACACAGGTGCTCCACCTCCTACCTTATAAGAACAGAGGTGCATCTCCATCTAACCTGTCAAAGCTCCTGGATGCACCAGCCCCATCCCCATGCTGCAGCCCCCAATGGACAAAACTGACTGGGAGTGCCAGGCCCCCATCTCCTCCCAGAACTATCTCCCTTGCATCACCGTTGTGATTCTACTGAAGTGGCCTCTACCAGCCACCAAGGCTCTGCCCCAGCCATTGGGCCAGGGCAGCCCTCACAGGGGAGCTCCTAGAGCCCCAGTATCTAATAGCAGAGGTGGGAGGGGCTGTGTCCCCTGCCCCAAGGACTGAAGCAGTTTTGGGTAGACTAGCACCCCCCAGACACAGCTCAGAGAACAGTGAAACTCACCCCCATTCTTCCAAGGAAAAAAATGTCTATTCACTTGTTCTGGAGTTTCAGCTATTTGAAGATCAGGATTCACTCTCCAAACCAGAGACTTGAAGTTCACAAAATGGATTTAAAGGTATAGAATGAAAATGGAAGTTAAATTCTTAGGGGAGGAGCAGGAAATGATAATCTATAGACCAATGGGAGACCTTCATATGCACCTCAAGGAAATAGTTACACTTTGTGCCTTAGCTCAGAGGAGCCAATGACTACATTCTTAATCCTACCTCTGTTCTGCTCCCTGAAGCTGTTCTCATGGCTCTCTGGTAGCACCATGGGGCTGGCTTTCAGAACCTGGATTCAATAAGGACAAGATGACACTTTTTTCTAAATGAACTACATAGATCAAACTACATAAGTGTCTTTTGATGGACAATGTTTTTTAATATCATTTAGCATATAATCTTTATAATCTTAACATAGTAGAAATGAAACAGGAATGTAATTGTGATGAGTAATTTTATGAGTCAGTGAGACTGTCCACTAGTTGCCCAGATTAAACATTATTACTGGGTGTGTCTGTGAGGTTGTTGTTTTCAGATGAGATTAGCATTTGGATCTTTGATCACAATAAATTAGATTAAAGGTCTAAGCAGAACAAAGAGGGAAAGGAAGAAAGAAGGTGTTCCTTTTGCTTCCTGACTACCTGCTTGAGTGGGGATATAGGTTTTCTCCTGCCTTTGAACTAGGACTTATACCATTGATTACCCTGGTTCTCAAGTTGTTGAACTTGGACTAATCTGCACCACCAGCTTTCCCAGGTCTCCAATTTTTAAAAGGCAGGACCATGAACTAGTCAAACTCTATAATCACATGAGCCAATTAGTGGTAATCAGTCACTTTCACATATAAAAAGGATATCTTTAATATTGGTTCTGTTTCTCAGGAGAACCCTGACTAATAAAGTATGAAACAATTCTAAAAAATGTAAATGGCACAGGTGAAATGTGATAATGGTAATGACTCTGATGAACAGAGCAATTTCAAAATATGTGTGCCTAAGAATGGCTGAGGGTAGTGAAGGGTACAAGGAAAATGTTGTAGAGGTGAAAATGCACAAAGTCATCTTTAATTCAGTATGAGCAAATCAGATAAGGAGAAGTCAGAGAATAGACAGAGAGATAGATTTGACTGAGTGAGTCAGTTTGGGCACAGCTATGTCTTTAACAGGAGAGATAGTTAAATAAATGTATGAAGAGACACCCCTACTTTAACTCACGGTTTTCATTGGTCTTAAGATCTTGTTGTCATGACACTTCTTCTGATATCTTTTCAGATATTAACACCAATCAAGCTTCTCATTATGCTGCATGAAATGTTGTAAATACTTCCCATGTGCTCCTCCTGCTCCTTATCTCCATGCTTTGTTTCTGAATAACAGGCATGGCCCAAGAATAAGATGAGCAAGGTTAGTGATTTTCCCGGAATTGAGTAGAGCTATGAGTGTAAACTTGGAAATCTTGTGGGACTAGTGAATACAAAAGAAGCTACGGAGTGGGGCAGCTGTCACACCATTAAGGCTCACAGTGTGCTAGGGTTTATGTGAACAGCCTGCCAAAATCCTACATCATTATATTTACAGGAATTAGGTAATGAAGTTTCAAAGAACTCTGTGACTTCCTGTTTTCTTTCCTGAGCAGTGCTGGGCTTAGTTCTTTTCTCTACAGGTCTCTGCAAAATGGTCCAGAAGCCTGGGCTTGTGGCCCATGGACACTCCATAGGCTTCTTCTCTGGGGCTTTCTTTGCTAAGATTTTTGAGGAAGTCATCTCTGGAACAAGATTTACATCTAAAGGTTAGAACTCATTTAGTATACCCTGATTAGAAAATGAAAATGCATAAGTGGAAGCAGTAGAGAGACTGCATTGGGAACCTAGAGTTATACTTTCATTAATACTCTATGCACACCCACCTTGCATCCACAACTGTGCATTTCATGAAATCACATCGGTACTTTTGCTATTTTTTTTGCTTATTTTCTATTTTGTTGCTTATTGTCCCTAATCTATTAGAATGTGTTGCATATGAAAAATGATTCGATTTTAACTAAATTGAACTTTTGATGATAAATTATGTTTCTATTATATCGATACTGTTTTTACTGAAAACATTATTGCTGTGTCACAAAATGAAATTCTGCTAATCTCTTGGCATTATTAACATATTTGTGATTCTTCTTTGACAATTTTTAACATCTATTTGTTATGAGAGAGAGAGAGAGAGAGAGAGAGAGAGAGAGAGAGAGAGAGAATAATGTGAAAGTACAGAGAGTGAGAAAAGCAATCACAATCTGCAGTATACTAGACTCTTGGAAGAAGGGAACAGTATTGGAGGTTTTTCCTATTTTTATTATACTTTTTTAAAAATCTTCATCCCAGAATATGTTTTTATTGGTTTTTTTAAATTTCTTTATTGATTAAGGTATCACATATTTGTCCTCATACCTCCATTCCCATCCCCCATTTATAATCCTTTTTGAAGGTAGACCTCAATCGACAGCAACATACAAACTCATGGCTGGAAGAGCAAGAATTAGGCTTTTGTAGCAGCTAGAAAGTGTCATTAGAACATCTTTAAAAGAGAGATCCAGAAGGAGAAATCTCAAGTTGCACAAAAGAACTTTGATCACATCTCTGAACTATACATGTGGGAGACAGATGACAAGCAGTCCCATTAGTGTTAATGGGACTGATCACTGATTTTAGCTCTTACAAAATGAAGGGGAGAATTTATAGTATGAGTTCAATCAAGTTAACCTATTAAAAAATAAACAAACAAAGAATAATATTCTTCAGAAAATTAAACAGAATCCTGAGTCTCTACATCTCTTTCACAATTTCCCTGAGGGAATTTTAGATTCATTCTAAAATTACTCAACATAATTAAAGTAAAGAACATGACTAATATTCAATAGAAAAGGGGATCAGTGGAGACCAGCTATGAAATAAGCCAGATGTTGTATTTAGTAAACAAGGATTTATTATTTCTGGGGTGATAGATGTAGAAGAAAATATATTTATAACAATCACCAAATTGTCAGAAATCAGATAGAAATAGTTTTTGTTTTTAATTGAAATACTAAAGCTATAATCAGTCAGAAAACAAATCCAGGTTTGGCTTATAAAAATTTGGAATCACAACATAAAGACTAACTAAAATGGAAAGTAGATTAATAGAAATTACCCAATTTGAAAATTATGGACATGTCCTCAATAATCTGTAAGAAATATCAAAGTAAAAAAAAAAAAAGCTTAATCCACAGCACAACTAGTAAAATACAGCAATAATAAAATATAAAGGTTGCATGGAAATGAATTTAGACCCGCTAACATTGTCTACTAGTGCCATGTTCATCATACATGAAGTAAATCTGATAAGGAATAAGCCTGAAGGAGAACAGAAGTGTATTCCAGCTAGTGGTCCTGATACTGAAAACAGCCCAGAGGCCATATGCAGTTAGACCCTGGTTGCAGAGACTGGCTCTGATGAACTGCAAGATCAGAGATAGATATTGTATCAGCATAGATATCATTTAATACCTACCTCTGTTTCTTTACTCCAGCATAATCCAAAACTGGGGTAGAAACCTCCAATTATTTTGCATCTCCTTCAAGATCAAATCCATCCTGAGACCCACCAGGAGCCTGTAGAGGAGGGAAGAGCAGAGCATGCGCTCTGCCTTGGGGCTGCAGAATTTATTTTTACGATGAGGTTACAAGGAGCTAAGGTCAAAGCAGCTGCTGCCACAGGACACAGAAGAAGAAACTGGAGAGAGAGAGAAAGACAGAGAGAGAAACCCCTCTCCCATCACAGGTCTTCCAGAAATGGAGAACCGAAGAATTTCTTGTGAGACAGGGACCAGAACAGACACTGGCCAAGCAGCCCAGTGTTTCCATTTCTCTTGGCTAATAAGCCGGTTGGGAGCAGTGGGGAATGAAAATGCCAGACACATGCTGCAGGAACACTCCTTCCTGTAGCATCTGCCCTGCTGTCTCACTGGAGGGAAGAAGAGGCTCTTCTCACTCCTGAGGACAACCTCAGCCTTAAGCTCCTGGAAAGAAGGAGGCTGGCCGGGAAAGGGAAACACTGACCTACATGCCTAACTGCTGAGAAACCCATACAGAACCCCTGCCCTGCCTCTATCACTGGAAGTCATAATGTGAACCAACCCCTGAAACATGGAGACATGCCTGGGCAAACAGAGGAAAAGCTTTCAAATGAAAGATAATTACTATGCTAATAGAAAATAAGGTTAAATCAACTTGTATCTAATATATCCACTAAGATTAAAAAAGTTATTCCCATCCTATCTAATAAAATAATAATATACAAATTAACCATCTCTCCACTATACCCACAAGCCACGCCCGCCAGCCAATCAGAAGCAAGTATGCAGATTATCTCAATAAAAATGGCTGTGGCCACAGAGAGAGCAGGAGGGAGGCTTGGGTTTCCCCAGCATTGAAGGAAGCTAAGCTTTCCACATACCCTGGCCTGCCCAGGCCTCTGCTTAAGGATACACAATTTTGATTATAGAAGATAAATAAATTCCAACAGAAATTGCTCCCAACATGGAGCAAGCAGAAGGCTTGGCTCTGCTCCAGGGTACAAAGTTTTTATTGTAGAAGATAAATAAATCCTAGATACCAGGGCCTCAGTTTGGGTCACTGGGAGGCATGGCTGGCCTGCAAACCACCACAGGCCCCCTCACCCAGGAGGCCCCACACCCCCAGGGAACCCCCACCCTGATCTGGGACACCCTTCAGGGCAAACCAGCTGGCCCTCACCCATGTACCAGGCCTCTATCCTAATTAAAGAGTAATATGCAATTGACCATCACTCCAACACACAAGATGGCTGCCCCCATGTGGTCAAAGATCTTGCCCCCATTGGTCACAAGATGGCTACCACAAGATGGCCAGCAGGGGAGGGCAGTTGGGAGGGACAAGGCCTTTAAGGGAGGGCAGTT